CTCTCTACTCTGGCTGATGAAAACTCAGAGATCTCCCAGCCTTTTGGGAGCCATGGGAAATGTCCTGCTACTGCTCCCTGGAAATTCTTTGCCCATCCTTGTGGAGTTTCGCCCTACATGTGTGCAGCTTTATATTCAGCAAGAGAATTAAGAAATTGCCTATGCAGATTTCTGGAGTCTTCTTCCTTCCTCCCTGGTGCTCTGCCCTACACATTCCATCCTCTCCCAGTCTCCCTGAACTATAATCCCTGTCTCCTCAACACGAATACCTTGCCCTGCTTGGCTGCCCCCTTCTTGTGCCATGGTCTAAAATGCGCCTCCAGGCAGAAAGTTGGGGTGATTGTAAGGTTTATCTCATTCGTTTGTGATCTCTTGAAGATCACAGTTCTGTGCTGTCTATAGTACAATGTCTTAAGATAATATAGAAGGACAAGTCTGATCTTGTTTATTCTTCACTTGACATATCTAAAATTTTAAGACTTTTTTAATCTATAGATTTTCTTTTCATCTTATCCTTGCAATTTATTTGTTTAAGTAATTGTGTTGTTTGCTCTAAAAAATGGCCCACAGTCTAGATTTGCTGAGTACATTCTATGATGTAATTTAACATGCTCCTCTTATCTTTTATATTGCTTATAGAATGATAATTGGATCTAGAGCAGGGTTTCTCGACTTCGATGCTATTGACCATTTTGGTCCAGATAATTCTTTGTTAGGGATAGGGGTGGGAGGGTTGGGGGTACTCTCTTGTGCAAGTAGGATATTTAGCAGCATCCCTGGCATCTACCCACTAGATGTCAGTACAACCTCCTCCCCAGTATGACAGCTAAAAATATCTCCAGACATTGTCAGATGATTTTATACTCATGTTCTGTTATGAAAAGTAGGCTACCTAAAAACTACAGAATCAGCTTCAGGAATTTGAAGACATCTACCTAGCAAAAATAACAATACTATGTTAATACTGCAGAGAACACATGAAAAAGATGATTTTAACAAAATGTAAGTAAAGGCTTCACAGAATGGCTGACTCAAGAGCAACATTATAGAGAATATGAATTTCTGTTTGGGAAGGAAAAAAATACTAGACATTAATAATGTAAAATGGCAAAAACATAAGTAGTTTCTAGTCAATTATATATTTCTTCATTAAATGTTTTTCTGTAACTTGTTGAACATTTTAAGATGTCAGAATTCTACAATGGATATACAGATAATTTTACTTTTTAAAATTTTTTTTTAACACTTTACAGTTTAATTATAAAACAAGAATTTTGGACTTGCAGAAAGGTATTATTACAATAATGTACTTTTCTTACTTGAAACATATATCTAATATAACATTAAGCAAAATGTAAGTGGAGGATTAATATAATCCTTTTAATTTAAAAGTAAACCACTATTTTTTTCTAATGTTTCCAAATGTCATCATTCTCTTTACTAAGGAAGAAAGGTAGAGAAGATGATAGATAATTATCATATTTTTAAAAGGTTTAAGAGGAGGATTGAGATTGAGAGACTTGTTAAAATTTCCTTTAGATAACCTTACTTGTAATTTAACTAATATTCATAGAAGACTCATTCTGTGTCAGTCTTAGGCATAGTAGTTGGCTGTTTTGAGATGGTTTAGAGGTATATCTGGTGGGAAGGGTCTTGAGATTAACCCAGAATAGTTTCGAGGGTAAGACTTTCCTCCATTGAGCTTCCTGAGAGTTGCCCTGCCACTACCCTCCTTGGCCTCCAGAATCCTTCCCTCTCTTTCCCCATTAGTGTCCTTCAGTTTAGCCATCAGTGGTTTCCATGGTGAGTGTCCATGCCACATCATTCTCCTCCAGAGAGAAACATTTGGATGTTCGGTATCTCTAGCATTTCTAGTGCTTTTAATCTTCATACAGTTAGGTTTAAGGCTTAATGGGTAAGTTTTTAAAAATTAACTCTGCAAAATAACTGTAGAATCCAGGTAATCAAGGAGCCTGGAGTTCTCATATTTATTTATTTTTTTCACATATCAACCTAGGGGCCTAATTGGCTTCACATCCCTAGAACTGTGAGTCAGAGGCATCCCTCTTCCCTTTCTCCATCAGTGGGTAGCTCTATCTCTTTCTCTCTTTATCATCTCTATTTGTCTCTCCTATCTTCCTTATTCTGTCTTCATCTTATTTTCTCATTATCTGCCTCCACTTCTCTGTGCATCTTTCTTGGTCTTCTTTCCCGCTCTTTTTCACCTCTCCACGATTGTTTCTCACATCTCTGTTTCTCTTTCATTGCTTCTCTCCTTCCCTCCTGTATGCTCTTTTCTGTCTCTTGTCCCACTACTACCTCCACTCCATATACTCTCTTCCCATTAGGAACTTATTCAAGACATTGTCAGTGACATTGCAAGTTCTACTTTAATAAAGAACACAATCTTTATTAATGGGAATAGTGGGTAAGCACTCTCCTCATGTGCCCTCTGTTCCTCCCTCATTTCTTTCTGAATGTGCCAGCACATTCAGAGGTAAATGACTTTGCTTGTTCTAGTGAATAGTATGATTGCAAGCCTATGTGCTTTCGGCCCGGGCTGCTTTCTTTAATTATTTCACCCTTCTAAGAATTTTTCTCATTCTGAGAGAATTTGAGAGTGCAGTTGAAGAAAGTAATATAATATTGGTCTAAGTGGAAAGTATTCCCCTCTACAGAAGGCCAAGTCGACTGGTTTTGAGGGAGTTCATTCTTCTGAAAAGGAGTTGAGCCAGGCCTGTGCTGTGTTACACTTTATCTGTGTAGGGTCCTGTTTTTGTTTTTGTTTCCTTAAAGCAGTTGGAGAGGGAGGAACAGGGTTGCCAAAAGATGTACCTCATAAGAAATGTAGATTGCTTACCTGAGAAACTCCCATTAGCCAGATATAGTCATCAGGTGACTTGTTCCTAAGGTTCGCTCCGCCTACCCTGCCGCGAGACTCACAGGGTGTTTAACACGTCCTGCAAAGCCGGGGACAACCTGTGGGCTCGGGTGCAGCTGACAGCCTTAGCCTCGCGCGCGAGCCAGCAGCCGCCCCACCTGCTGCAGGGCGCCGAGCCCCGCCCCCGGGCGTGAGGGCCAATGGGCAGGACCCTAGGGGGCGGGGCAAGGTCGGGCGGGAGGAGCGAGGCCAGAGGGCGGGGCGAGGGCGGCCGGGCAGTCTTGGCGGTAGCTGCAGCTGCTGCGGCGGCGGCTTGGCCGGGCGTCCGCGGGCCGTGGGGGATGGGGTTGGTGAGCTCCAGCCCTCGGCCGCGGCCGCGGCGGCTGTGAGCGTTGGGCCGGCGTCTGCGTCCGGGACGCAGGATGGAGTGCCGCGGTGAGTGTGAAGCGGCGGATGCGGCTGGGAGCTGGAGTCACCCCCAGCGGCCGCCGGCGAGTTGCGGTCCAGGGTCCGGGTGGCCCCGAGCGGAGGCGGCTGCGGTCTGCGCTGGGAGTTGGGCCGGGGTCCTTGGGGCTCCCGGTCCTTCTGGAAGGGGTCCGACGTGGGCGAGCCGGGCGCCTGGCGGGACAGGAGCAGAGCAGTCGGGAGGGCGCGAGCGGTGGCCCAGAGCAGATGATGACGATGATACTAAAAGCAGACATACACAGCATGTCCCTCTGTCCGCATCTTGCTCTAAAAGCTCTCCACTTTTAACTTCTTTAATCCTCACGTGTCCGAGATTATTTAACTCGTTTTTTAGATGGGGAAACTGAGGTTAAAAACCTGTCGGAATACACCGGCTAGTAATTGGTAGAGTGCAGATTTACACCACGGCAGTTTTGTTCCAGAATCCGTGCTCTTGACCACTAGCGTTTAGTTTTGCTTCTGATCCCTTCTCGCTCCGGATCCCTTCTCGCTCCCACCTGCCCTGACAGCAGTCATCTCTTTAACAGGGTCTCTCTCATTCCTGAGATATTTTAGGATTTCCGTGGTGCATTGTTCTCCTCTTCTCTTGTCTTTTGAGCCGAGGAGGGGCGTTTCGTTCTGTGTCAGTGGTTTTCCCAGTTCCGTTGTGGATGTTTGGGGCTTGATGGTGTTTTTTTTCCTGTTTTTAAATTTTTCTTTTTGACGGATGAGGTCAAGTGCGAGAGATTTCAGTCTGGAACACTAGAGACTGACGAACCTCATATCTCCATGTTAATCTTTTTTTTTTACTTTTTCTCAAGAAGAAATTAGCCTCACACCTTTTCAGAGAGCAGGACTGTTAACTGCTATAGGAGGGACGTTTGCGCCCCTACACCTTTCTCCAGCCATCTCCGTGACGATATCTCTTGGCTCTCGCTATCAATGTTCGCCGCCCTTTTTGCTTGATTTTCCCACTCTGTTTTTAAATACTGGGATAGAGAACGTGCTTTTGACATTGGGTAGTTTGGGCTGGTCAAGGGAGAGCCCTGCTTGCCAGGAATGCTAGATATTTTGGAGGCGTGGGAGGTTGGGCAGCTTTTTAAAACGTGCTGGATTCTAACTGCACAGGAATGAAGTGTATGCGTATTGCAAGCCTTTCTTTAGAAATTACAGTTATTTACACACTATCGATAAAACTTTTTAACATGCTCCTATTTGTGGATAGTGTTTTTTAAAAATACAGTTAAAGACCTCCAGAATGTTTTTTTTTTTTTAGCATTTAAGTAGAGTCTCACCAAATCGGAAATTATGCTGAAATTTCAGATTTCTGAAATGTCTGGCGGTTTTTTCCAGAGGTAGAAATAGTAAGATGTGAACTATTAAGAACAGATATTTGGGCGCAGTTTTACACTTCAGTTAGACAACCCAATGCCTGAAACGAAAATACTTCTATAGTGATACGTTTGGAAAGGAAGTACATGGGACAGGGTACGTTAACATGGGCTACTGCAAGTCTTGGAAAAGCTACATTCCAGAGTACCAGGAAGTTAGTGTTCACATTTCTAATGCACATATTACTTAGAATTTAGAACATATGGAGAAAGTTTTTCACAGTAATTTTCTGTTTGCAACAAAATTCTTGGAGAAATGGATTGAACACATTTTTAATGTTGAAGATTTGGAGTTTGAAGAGATGCATGAGAACTAGGAGAGTTTCACAAGTATTTTGCTCAACATTCTGTTTGCACAGTTCAAACTTCACTTGGAAGTGATTTAGTAGGTTTCCACGAAGTCAGTTAAGTTTCTGAAATTGTTTCTAGTCCTGTATTTCTTGCTCACAGTCTACAGATAAGTTGTAGTGAAGCCATATCTTGTTCATTACTTATGTTAAAAAATAATCTGCCATAAAACACTGCTAGTAATAATGGCTAACAGTTATTGAGTCTTCATTTTGAACCAGGCACTGTACTAAATGCTTTCCATATTATTGCCTCATTTAATTAAATTGCCAGTTGCAATCTGTTACTACATTTTATGTTACCACAGACTAGAGGATGTTCATTTTGAGACATGGGAAGGTAGTGTATATGGTCTTGGAAAGTTTATATCCTCCAAACTTCCTCATTATCATAGTTCAATTTTATGAAAGCTTGACTTAACTTTGTTATTTAAATTTTTTTCCAACTGTTAATATTCTTTTTTTTAATTTGAAGAATGAAAAGTGGTAAAGTATGTATAACAAAATTAGGATATTACTCACCATAAGGCTGAGTAATTCTAGAGGTAGAATAGTTCCTCCTTTTCCCACCATTTTTGTTTTTTTGTTTACAGATTTTTCTTAGTCTTGGCTAAAAATGTTTAAGCATTTTTTGAAACATTTTTTACAGCTTTAGGTTACTAGTTTGACACTTTGTAAAGTAAATTCTTTTTGCTGAGATAAGTGAATTGTTCTATTTGGAACTTGTTATATATGTCTTTAATTTTTATAACCATCTTTTTTATCAGTGACAGTGACCAAATTTCTAATTTATTAAACTAAAAGCCATCAAAATTAATCAGAATGACTTTTATTAAGTAAGCTGCAAACGCGTTAGGTTAATAGTGTTCTCAAGAAGTGATTTGTAAAAGTGCTGCCCAAACACAGCACTTGAGTGTTTTTGGGTTGTTGTTGTTGAGACTTAGGCATAATAATAGTGCTTAAAAAATTGTCCTGGGTTCATTTTAGAAATTATCTACATATTTAAGTATTAACGTTAGATAGGTTTGAAACTAGTTTAAATATAGAAATTACATTCTCAGAAATAATTTGAGATTAATAAGACTATTGTATAAAGAAACTGTAAAAGCTATCAGAGAAGTGTTAGGACACCTTATTTAATAATCAGAGGTAGAGAAACAATAGAAATCCAACTTTGATTTCAGTTTTATGTAATCGTGCCTTTACTCAACTTCATATGCTTATTTTTTTTGTTTGTGTACGTGTGTATTTCAAAAGACACTATTTTAGAGAAATATTTTTTAAAATCATTTGTATTTTCCATTCAAAATACTACAACAATCCAAAGTTAACCATTTTGGTTTCTATAAACATTAATTATAACTATAAGTTTATAAGCTCATTCATTCTGCAAATAGTTTTGAGTAGTTCATCCCTCATATGCCATGCTCTATGCTGTGAACAGAGAACATGTGGTTAGCAAACAGACATGGTCTTGATTTCCTTGAGTTTATAGTCTAGATAGGAAGACATGAACCATCTACTTGAACTTGGATTAGTGCAATGATGAAAAACATAAGACTCTCTAAAGCATCTCACACGAGATTCTGCTTTATTTTGGTGGTGGTGGTGGTGGTGGTTATGGGGTAAGGGATGGTCCACGAAGGCTTCTTTGAGGAAGTGATCTTTGAGCTGAGATTAAAATGAGTAAACAAAGGGGAAGGAGTAGTCCAGGCAAATGGAACTGTGTAGAGATAGGACCTTGAGTCGAACAGTTGTTGTTTTTCAAGTTGTAGGGTCATGGGCTAATTATGACTTGAAACCAATTTGGTGGGTTGCAACCAGCATTTTAAAATATAAAACAGGATAGGATAGAAATCATCTGAGTACATTACCTGGCTCCTTATCCAGAATCTGTATTCTGTTTTATGCATTCCTACACGTACCATCATATACAAACACAACATATTTGACATGTATACGGGCCCATGATGTAAAATTGTTTCCTACTGTGGGTCACAATAAACAAATATTGTTGGAAGAATGAGAAGAAGGTATGTGTGGCAGGAGTGTTGAGTAGGAATCATGTCTCCAGGTGACATTGCAGAGGTAGGTACGAGCCAGATCTCATGTGGAGCCTTATAGTGCATGATAACGTCTCACTTGTCCTTTGGAAGAGTTTTGAGCAGAGAAATGACATGATGAGATTCGTGTTTTGAAAAGTGTACTCACTGCATTTGGAATGGGATGTGGAGAGATCATCAGAAAATTAGTAACAGTAGCTAAGACCAAAATGGTAGTAATTCACCTAGAAGTGGTAGAAGAGATAGAAGTGGATAGAGAACTATATATAGATTAAGAAGAAAACAATCTCTAGAGTTGGGTCAAGTATAGGAAGGAGTAAATGGTACAGTAATATATCTTACACATGACCTGGAAATGAATATTACATGAAACTTCTACTGTGAATTTCACAGGAATCTTTAGTCCTTCATACATTTTGAAAGTACTCAAATTGTCAGTATAAAATATTTTTAAATGTGTTATTGATGATGCTTGAGCTAATTTAATTCCACCAGTCATTTCCTTTTTGATTCCGATATATGCAAACAAAATTAGGACTTTCTATTCTAAAAAGGTAAAATGTAAGGATGAAGCAGAAACTAAATTTTTGTGTGTGTTCCAACTATATGCCAGGATTAGGTGTTTTAACATATAGAGTCTTAACTTTGTGTTTCCTTTTAAATATCACATATGAAGTCTTTTAATTTTGTGTTTTTTAGTCTTTACACAGCCTTTATGCAAATTGTGTCACACATTCAAAAGTATTCAACCAGGATTCAAATCTAAATCTTTCTCATTCCAAATGATTGTGTTTTTACTATACCATCCTGAAATGCCCAGAAATATTGCCCCAATAATCATACATTTATTTGTTCAGCCAATCAGGGTGTGTCAAATTAGTGGACACCCTTGGAACTTGTTTTCAACAAAGAGATATTCTTGCTGAATTTTGGTAATCCATATTATGTCTGTGTGTATGTGTACATGTATATGTATGTATGTGCATGCATTATTATTGAGAACTAACTGTAAATGAACTACTTTTATATGTTGAATGGACACTTCTGTACCATTGTCTCTTTTAATGCTTACAATCATCCCATGAGGTAGGTGCTGTCAGGATGTTATTCCCATTTTATAAATGAACACACCAATATAAAGAGTTGATTAAGAGCTTGTGAAGTCACACACAGTAAGTGATGGAGGGGGATTTTGAAAACAATTTTTTTTTTTTCAAAGCTCATATTTCGTCTTTATTTTTGAAGATGATGTCATGGAGGGAGAATATGTCCTTCCACTAAGTGACAGTTCAGGAAAACATTTACAAATTTTAAAAAATCTACTCTAGGAATTAAGAGCATGGATTTTGGTGACAAGGCAGATCTGGGTTTAAGTACCAGTTCATCATTTATCAGCTAAGAGTTTAGACCAATCATTTAACCTCCAAACCTCAGATTCTTTAACTCGTGAAATGAAGAGAACAGTAGTCTGTGTATCATAGAGTTGTCAAGATTACTGGCACTTAATAAATGGAAGCTGCTACTATTAGTAGTAATACAGTACAGTGTTTATTGTTGTGATTGTTCTTAATACAATACTGAGGTGGGCTATGGGCTATTTGTGAAAACCTAGTAGAATGTTTCCCCTGGTTGATGCAGTATTTTTGTTTCTCTTTTTTTTTTTCTCCCCCTACTCCCCTTAAGGATTTCAGTTTTTCTGACTGTTATATGAGAGGATGATTGCTCACAAACAGAAAAAGACAAAGAAAAAACGTGTTTTGTCATCAGGCCAGCTCTCTACTGATGTTACAACTTCTGAAATGGGGCTCAAGTCTTTAAGTTCCAATTCTATTTTTGATCCGGATTACATCAAGGAGTTGGTGAATGATATAAGGAAGTTCTCCCATATGCTGTTATATTTGAAAGAAGCTATTCTTTCAGGTTTGTCAACTATCTTCTCTTAGCATTCTTACTGGATAGTTTGTAAAATTTTAAATGCCAGCCTCGTTACAGAGAAGTGTGTACACAGTGTTAGGGACAGGGTATTCTTCTGTAGTTATTTTATGACTTTTTTTCCCATATGTTTGATGTTTACCTGTTTCATAATCAGGTACAGTAGAATACATTATAGAAACTTGGTAAGTGTGAGGGAACAAGAATACAAAAAACAAAAATAAGTCTTTGGTTTTTAGCAGGTGAGCCCATTTGATAGAGTAAAATTTTCGATGGCATTTTAACCTTGTTAATGGTAACACAGTTCATTTATTGGTCTTTAACAAGCAAACTGATGTTTGTAATTTAAATTGTTGATACTGCTGCTGGGATTCTGTTTTCTATATTGTTCCTAAAACCTAATCTAAAATCACTGCATTTGAATGTTTTTTTTCCTCAAAAATCAAACTTAATTCTGTTTTGATGTTTTTCAATTTGCTTCTTTAATTAAGAGATAAGCACATCTGTTTAGTTAGATATGGATAATGGAGCATGAGACTTGATTCTTCTTCTGCTGTTCTTTATTTAATACCATCATCGTTGTAAACTTTGGCCACACAGCAAAGAGCTGTTTCACTGTTTTCCTCTTGCAGTGAGGGAGCCTTGTCAGTATTTTGTCAGTGGCCTTGCCAGTATTGCCTTTTGCCTCCTTAAGAGGAAGGATGCCTAATTTTTGGCATTGTTTACAGTTTTTAAATTTATCTCAGTTGTCTGTTAAAAAGCTAAACAGTTAGCTTTTAAGAATATAGAATGTAGGTATAAAATGAAATCACCTTTTGGTGTAATTCAAATAACATTTTCCTTCTATACTTTACCTCTCATCAGGCAGTGATGTACAAAGTTACTTGACTATTGCTTCAGATGTTCAACCATATTGTCGAGGGTAGGCTTTATATTTTGTGGAGCACTTTTACATACAAACAGTATTAAATCACGCAGTCCCCACAAAGGCAGGTATTTTTAGTCCCATTTTACAGGTGAGCTGTATGTATAATTTAGATTATGTGATCTCAACCCCTCTTTCTGATAAATAATGGTTTCATTTGGAACCCAGAGGTAATGAGTGCAGAATGATGTGTTCTTTCCATGCTATTTCACCTGCTTCACATGGCAGGTACTCTGTAAACACACTGCTCAGTTTTCATGATTTTAGTAGCCAATTCTGTTTTCACTGGGGATTATCTAGATCTGCACTATCCAGTATGGTGCCTCTAGACATGTGGCAATTTAAATTTAATTATAATTAAATATTTAGTTTCTCAGTCACAGTAGCCACATTTCAAAGGCTTATAAGCCACATGTGGCTAGTGGCTATGTGAAAATATAAAAATTTCCATCAGCGAAGAAATTTCTATTGGACAGTGCCGGTATAGACATTTGGCCTTTCTCAATGATGAGATGAATTCTTGAGCTATAAATATTTTTTATTCCTACAGCGTTAAAAGAAATCCTAGAAAAAGTTGTTATGGGAGCAAATTTAAGAAAATTTTTACCTAGAAATGAGAACTGTTGGGGTCTCTGTGGACTCCCCTTCCTAAAGTTACCTATGAAATATGTAGCTTTCATGCCCTTCTTTGATTTGAACTAGCGGATCAACTTCCAGCCAGGTTATACAGTTTGGTTAAATTGGTAGTAAGAGGTATCAGAAAGAGCTCTGGAAAGAGAATCACATGATCTAGGTTCTAGGCCTAGGTCTGCTACTCACTAGTTTTGGAATATGGCTTAAGTCATTTAATAAATTTGCTAAGAATGATGTTATCACTTTTATAATTCTGTGATTTATAATTTGATTGGAGTTGGAAGTTCTACACTGTTCTGAATATAGACAGTTCAGAGATGAAGAAGACAGCTAACTATTTGTTTTCAAACTCCATAATGCATTTTAGAGGATACCCACCTCCCTTCCACCACTCTATAGGATTTTTAAATGTAAGTTTTATGATAATTATCTTAAATGTGGTATTTATGAAAATTTCCCAGGTGAGAACGTAAAGCTCATATTGCAGTAGTTGTTGAGGAATTGACTAGAGAAAATAAATTTCTGCCAAAGAGCTCTATACCCCTTAACAGACTTAAGATACCTATGCAGTGTATCTTACTTACAAATAAAAATAGAGAGCTTAATATGGGAGATTAGACTGTGAAAACACTTGCTTTGATAGGGTAAATGATAGAGTTTGTTAATTCTGTCTACCACTTATTTCCAGGAGGAGGTTACCCTGGAGTTTTATACAAATAGCAGATAGGAAATTTGAAGTTTAGATCTCTATCCAGTGTTATTAAGGTGCATTATGAATAATTACAGGGGAAAATATTGCATCTTATATTAAAATGCTAAAGGCCCTCAATTATACACGCATCCTCTGTGTTTAAATTTACCACCACAGATTAATATACGTGCAGTGTAAATACCAATTCAGGTTTATGGTCGTCCCCTGAAAAATAATGTCTTCTGAATTCCAACAAACAGATTCATAAATGTTGTTCTTGTTTTTACGGTAATCTTAAACTCTGTCTTTGTCATATGTCCCCCCATTCCCAGGTAGAACACCACTCAAGGAAGTTCAAAATTTGGGAATTTGTAAAGTGTAAGGCTTTTTAATTGAGCTAGAAAGAATAGTGCAAATACTTAATATTTTTTTGATACTCGATTCTTGGAAGGGTCCATTGCCATATTTGAAGGAAAATCAGTCTAATGCTTCTTGTAGCTTGTTGATTACATGACACTGTTTTTTAAGTGCATTTTAATAAGTTTACTAATGTGACAATGGTGTCTTGTTTTTCTGCATTTTTTTTTTAAACAGGCTAGAAAGAAAGATAAGATATTATTTTCAGTTTCAGATAAAGTAGTTCTCTACTTTTTAAAAGTGTTTTCTAATTTAAGGGTGTATCACTATCACTTACTTTGTGAAAACATAACTGATTTCATAAGTGGTAGCTTCTGATGAATTCTAGATCCTAAATTTAACAGAACTATAGTTAGAAGAAGTATGTTAACTTTCTAAAGCAAATTTTATTGAACAGAAGGAGTTAAATAAAAAGTTTAATGCCATTAAGTAATATGTTACATTATTAGGGAGGGAAGATCTGTATACATTTTCAAAGACTTAATTGAAATCCTGTCTTATTGATTAACCCAACTTTTTTCCAGGGCAAATATACAGCAAGATGTATAAGTTTATTTCAGACAAATTTCAATAAGTGTTAATTTGACTGTTGTTTGACACGTAAGTGTTAATTTGACTAATCATTGACTATTAATGACTCTTAATTAACTTTCAGCCTTTATAGTGTGCCAGGAATTTTGTGGAATATTAGAAACCTTAAATTGCTAGTTTCAAATATGCCTTCCTGCTGTGTTCTTTTCTTTTTTTCTTTTTCTTTTTTTCTTTTTTTTTCTAGGCAGTGACTCTCCTGATGACTGCCGTGTTCTTTTAGAAGTAAACCTCTCTACAAGTGATTTCTAATGGATATCGCTTAGGAGAGGTTAATGTGAGTGTTAATAGGTTATACCTTAGTGCCTAGAAGGTAAAAAATGAATCTTTGAGGAATGAAGTGTGAAATACAGCTAGCTCATTTATTACATGTGCCAGCTCTTAGGAGATTACTTTCTTCTTCTGTACTTGCCTAGAATGGTTTACATAACTTAACACCACTTAAAATAGTAACTGGCATTGGAAGTTACAGCCTATTAAATCACAAATTGTAGAGTACTGCCATTAAACTATTTCCTCTTTAACCATGTTGATATGGCATATTGATTAAGAGCACAAATTACAGTATTAGAATGCCTAAGGTGGAATCCTCATTCTGCCACTGAACAAGGTACTTATCTTCTCTGTGCCTCAGTTTCTACAGCTTATAAAGGAGTTCATAGTACCTACATCATTGGGTTATTGTGAAGATTAAGCAAGTTCATAAATGTAAAGCTCTTAGAATAAGTGTTTTAAAATGTCAGCTATTATTTTTACACCCCTCAAGTGGCTGGATAAGGAAAGCTGCTGTTCAGACTTTACTTTTATCCTGTAAATTCAGAAGTCATTACAGCAAAAAAAAAAAAAGGGGGGGATGGGGGATAGTTTTCTAATGATAAGTTCTAAAACCTTTTTTCCTCCTTGTTGTTTTCACTGCTTTCCCAGAGAGGTTAAGCTGAATTAACAAGACTGATTTTAAAAATTATTTTCAGGTTTGTTTTTTTTTCAAATCCAGGAAAACACCATGGATTTTTTCATTTATTTACTTAAGCATTTCCATGAAGTGTTTGCAATATAAACACTGCAGTATTGTGTTAATGCATGAGAACTAAAAAGTAGAGCTGGCTAATCTGTTTTCACTTGATAAGCTAAATTAAACAAAATAAATGGCACAGATGAGTGAAACAATAAATTAAAATTCAGATTACTATATTACTGGGATGATAGATAAACAAACAGACATTGGGATATAGGAGTTCTACTGTTCTAGATAACTAGTGTTAAGATTTTGGTTGAACATTAATATATTCACATATTTAATATCTTTGTAGTATAAATTAAATTTCATTACATTTACAATGTGGCCACTATAAAATTTAAAAATTATCTTGTATTTAGTTATATTACTAAGTTAAATACTATAATTTAACTCATATGTGTAGAAGTGTTTTTATAAAGCATATCTTTAATTATGATTTTATTTCTAAGTAATTTACCAATTTAGATTTTATATATAAAATGAAATCGAAACTTAACTTTAGTGTTTCTTTTTCATTAGCCAAATTATTGTGGTACCTTGCTATAACTATATTTGTTATTGAACATAATTCTGTATGAGACAAATCTGTTTTCAAAGGTATTTAGTTTGAATAGCTTACAGATTTAATAGTAATAATAACTTCATGTATTAAGACTACAAAGCAATTGTTTCTTTTAATTTATTTTATATTCACAACATTTTAAGATAGCTAGGAT